CTGCAGCATCGCCACCTCGGCCTCCAGCTCCGCCACCCGCGCGTCGGCGGGGGCGCCGGCGGGGACCTGAGCCCAGCGCGGAGGCCAGCAGCGGAGAAGGCGACGACGACGCCGCCGCCGACGACCACGATACGCCGATGACGACGAACACCCCGCCGCCGAAGACGACGACGCCGACGCCGCCGACGACGACGGCGCCGACAACGACGGCGCCGACGACGCCGACGACGCCGCCGTCGTCGCCGCCGCCGCCGCCGCCGACGACGACGACGACGGTCGGAAGGGGGTGCCTGCGCGGCGCCGCAGCAAAAGCCGTCCGCCTGCAGAGGCCCTCGCCGAGCGCGCGTTCCGCTGCTCGCACAGTAGTTTTAGGTCGGGCCTGTCCCCCTTCAGGGGGATTTTTGACGAAACAAAAAAACAACAGAAAAAATGTTAGAAATAGTCAAAAAATCATCCCCAGACTATTTTGACTATTATTGAATATTCCCCTGTAGAGGGACAGGCCCGACTTGACTGATCGCAGAGGGCCCGGATCTGGATCCGCCGCGGGGAGTTTACGGTGAACCCGCATAAGAAGGATGCGAGGGAAGGATGCAAAGGGCCTTGGGAGGCCATGTCGACACGCGAGCGACGAAAAGAAACGGGTCTTACGCGAGGTGTCGTAGCGGCCTCGCGCGGTGACTTACGCGGGCCGCCAGCGCGGCACGCCGCACTTGAAGCGAGAGCGCTCACGCGCGACCTTGCGCGGGCGGCGTACGCGCGAGTGCCGGCGACATCGAGCCCGTTTCGTTTGCTGCTGTGCTGCCGCTGCCGTGGGTGATGAAAAAACGCACCCTATAGTACACGTGACTAGGGCCACTGGACTTACAGTCGGGGTCTTGACCCAAGGAACCCAAAATAAGGAACGAGGCCCCTTTTCTCCATGAGTTAAACTTCGATTTCCGATCGGAAACATAATGAAAGCCTGAGGCAGGCTGTGAAACACTTAAGGAACGCGGAGCCCCTCCCCAACGAAAAGGGTTCCTTCTTCAGGGCCCCGACTGTACCAGAGACGCAGGATCAAGGCGAACAGCAGTGCCGAACGCGCCGCTCCCACGGCGCGCGGAGAGGCAAAACAAACGGCGGGCTCAAATCCCGCCGCACAACCGGCGATAGCGAACCGCCATGCTGTGGCGGTACAGTCGGGGAATTGACCTAAGGAACCCTAAATAAGGAACGAGGCTCCTTTTTCCCATCGGTTAAAGTTCGACATCCTATCGAAAACCGAAGGAAAACCTGAGGCATGCTGTGAAACACTTAAGGAACGCGGAGCCCCTCCCAAACCAAAAGGGCACCTTCTTCAGGGCCCCGACTGTACAGCGCCTCGTTCCAGCGCCCGTGCCGCACCAGCCTAGCAACGTGAAAACGGTCTCTTTCTCCTCGATGTGCCCGGCTCGCGGCGGCAGCTCTCTTCACTGCGCAGACACTGCGTAGACATGGCATGCTAGAAAAAAAAACAAGTCAATGCTTCTTTCGTCGAAACAAAAACATTCCCGCAGAGAATGCCAGCGACATCAAACCCGTGTTTTGCCTTGGAAAGGCGCTCATCCTTACTATGCGGGCTGACTGTCCTCGCAAATGGCCTGAATTCGCCGCGGGGGATTTACGATCCAGCACATCCAGGCAAGAATGTCCGCTTCGGACGCTTGCGAGTAGGCACTTTGCGAGTACGGCCCGACCCAGGACAGGAGCACATCCTTCCAGAACACGAGACCCTCCGCTGGCCCAAACCGAAGAACCTTCGGGGGCGCCCTCCCCCAAGGTGCGCAAGGACATGCAACGGGCAAGAAGAGCACCAGGGTGTCCTCCCCGAGCCGACCTCGATCTCATACCTCGGTCCGGCCGTAGGCACTCTGCGAGCAGGTGGAACACGCTCGGCGAGGGGGGGACCACGCAGGCTCATCTGATGGGCCTGTTGTCCACCACCACCACCACCACAAGTTGGAGGGGGAGGATGAGGAGGAGGAGGAGGACGAGGAGGACGAAGAGAAGGAGGAGGAGGAGGAGGACCCCCTTCCCTCCAACTTATGGTGGTGGTGGAAAACAGGCCCACCATCATCTGCCAGGGGGACTTTCTCAAGCCGTGGTGACGGGGGTCCCAGCCGCGGTCGAGGGCAGACGCCGCGCGCGCGTGGCCGCACTGGGCACGGCGGGCGCGGAGTCGGACCTGGGCCAGAAGGACATCCCTCGAGAGCATGAGGCCCCCCGTCGCCCAAACTATGCAGAACATCCAAGGCTGCCCTCCCCCAGGGGTGCACAAGGACATCCAGCAGACAGGGAGGACCTTGGGGTACCCTCCCCGAACCGACCTCGATCTTATATGGCCTCGGTCCGAATGTAGCAGTGGGAACGGGGCCCGCGGGCACGCTCCCGACGTGAAGTCCTTCAGCGTGGGTGCCGGAGTCCCTGCACAGTGCGGGGGGAAGTGGAGGGCCCTGCAGGGGCGGCGCCTACTGGGGGAACAAAGAATGGAATGAACACCAAAATTCAGACATCCGCACGGACCTCGGAGTTTTGTTTTGGTCAACGTTTTCTTATTCGGCGTTTCGACACTGGGCGGAAGAGGGGGGGAACGGGATGGGGTCTGGCTCTGGATCTTTGCTCAATGCGTCTGTTCACAAAAGTGCCTCCCACAGGGGGCGAGACTCCACCTGCTTGACCCAGGCGCCGAAAACGGCCAAGACCTGCTCCATGGGGGGGGGGAGCGAGTGCCCGCGCCGATCGGCAAAACAAAGGATAAAAAACGCCCACTTGCCCCCATCGTCTGCGTGCGCAATGCAGCATATCTGCGCGCGCGGGCGCGACACTCGGGGTCCCATGGGACCACGCGACGGCGGGAGGGGTGGACTGGGACCTGTGCCTGGCGCCAGGAACAGAGGAAAGGCCGCGCGGTCTCACCTGCGCGGTCTCGTCGCTCAAAGCAGACTGGAGTCTGGGACTCCAAACGTTCTCCTCCTCCACCTCCTACTCCTCCTCCTCCGAATCTGGGACTCCAAACATACCTACTTCCAACGACCGATGGGAATGCAGAAATCTGCAAAAGTGCACGTGCGCACGCAGCGCACCGGGAGCACCCTGCCGGGAGGCCAGGTCCTCGACCGGCGCACTTCGTGAGGGGGGGCCCCGTGCGGGCCCTGGCCTTGCCCAGGGACTCGACCCGCTGACACATCGCAGGAAGTCCAGGAGGAGTAGGAGGGGAAGGAGGAGGAGGAGGAGAAGCAGGGGGAGGGGGACGAGGAGAAGGAGGAGGAGAAAGAGGAGGAGGAGGACGAGGAGGAGGAGGAGGAGAAGGAGGAGGGGAAGGATTAGGAGGAGGACGAGAAGAAGGAGGAGGAGGTGGAGGAGGAGGAGGAGGGGGAGGAGGAGGAGGAGGAGGGGGAGAGGAGGAGGAGGAGGAGGAGGGGGAGGAGGAGGAGGAGGAGGAGGAGGACGACGACGACGACGACGAGGAGGAGGAGGAGGAGGAGGAGCAGGCTCGACTCCAAGGCCAGAATTTCCTATGGCTGGGTCGGCCCCGTGTGGTTGAGAGCTGCCGCGCGCGCGTCCCAACCGGCAGCTGCACACGCGAAGCACCTGGCCATCCAGGCGCACCCCTGCTCACTGAGCCCGCGCCTTGCGAAGGAACGAGTACTTCCCACACTCATGCATCCGAAATGTCCAAAACATCGCTGTGATACGTCCGATTGGACAGGAGTTACCCGACGAAGAACTGCATAAAAGGACCTGCTCCGCCATCGGGGGCGCCTGTCCTTGGGCGGCTGGAAGGGTCATACCCTGACCTGACACCGTTGAGAGGGAGATTTCCAGCCGCCCTGAGATGGGCGTCCCCGGTGGCGGACCAAAGTGTCTTACACTATTATTTGCTCGCTGAAAGAGCAATGGAATCGCCGCTCGTTCAAGCACGAGCAAGTGCGCGCACGTGCGACCGCGCATACGCACGCATCTGCACCCAAAACGAACTGGCGACATATGCGATGTCGAAATTAGTCCATAAAGGAACCTTCATGCCTCGAACCCGTGAGAAGGCAGATCACGGGAAAAACGACCAAACCCAACCCGTGTGCTCCATAACTGGTAGCCGTCACCGCCAGGGACCTCGTAGAGCTCCCTGGGGCGTTTCATACACACCAAGAACGGCGGGGAATGCTACTGACAAGCTTCTGTTATCTCGCTATAAAAGATTGTACAATGCGCATGTTCGCTCTCACCAAGATGTTGATTCCTGGAAGTGAATCCATGAGAAAATTGCGGCTACAATCATGAGTTCAGGACAAGAAAAAAGCCTCAGAAGATGCTCCCGGGGCTCGAATCCTGGGTTCTCAGAAACAAATGCTCAAATCGCGAGCAAACTTGAGAGAACGAGGCCAAGGTCGTCACATTGTCAGCTCTGGTTGGGTCGACCATCTAGCTCAACCTTGCGTCCGAGTTCCTCTCAGCTCAGGTTCCCACCTGAGCTCTACGAGGTACACCCCTTTTTATGGAATCAGCGCAAGCACAGCAAGTCAGCAGAACTTCAAATGCTCTCCCCTACGGACGTAGCTTGCGCTACGTCCAAATCTGCTATCGTAACTACCTCGAGGACGTAATGGAAGCCCAATTGCTGCTGCGATTGTGTGCGATGAATGTTGGAGATGCCAGACCCCGAAATGCTGGAATTCCCAATTTGCTAGATCCCAAGCCTGACGAACTCATGGGCGCCCATGGGCCAGGCCGCGTCGGCCCCCCAGAAACCCGAGACCGAGGGAAGGCCTTTGGTACATCAGAGCAGTCTTGCCTCAGAGTGTGTGTGTGTGCCTTTTTTGTCCAGCAGGTGCCCGGATGTAGCAATCGGCGGTCTCCCTTTAGTAAACCTCCCCTGAGTGAAAACAACCTGGGACCGAAACCGACGGACCTGGACCCGCAAATATGACGGCCGCGACGCCCTCTCGCGAACCGAAAACGGCCAATTCACTAATCGACGT